TAGAACGTATCTTTGGCTCATTGAACTTATGAAGAAATGTAGATGTTGAGAAGAACTGCTTCATAAATTTGGTAATGATACAGAAACCAATATGCTATTCAAAAAGCGAAACAATATACAGCTGCCCTACTTAAAGAAATTTTTTAGTTTAAAACTGTAAAGGAAAAATGATACCATTATAACTCTTCGGAGAGAGATTTAATACAGACGATGATATAGATCAAATTGTTATAAAAAGTCCTAAAATTATATCTTAGAAAAATATAAATAAAAGTTATTCATACATTTAATTTTCTATTTTCACAAAAAAAGTTTTGGAATCGCTGTACTTGTATTGCTGTCTCGCCAGTGGACCGCCGACTGAGTTTGAGTGCGAATATGTGACTAGTTTGGTTGTGGTTTTTTATTTACTTTATGCTTTTGATTGATGCAAAAACAAATTAGAAGAGTCATGCAATTTATTAACTTTTACGGGAAAGGATAAAATGTTGAATATGTTTAAAAAAATAAATAAAACACTAAAAGTTGTAGTTAATCAATGGAACTGTCAATTAACGGCGACGAAGAAGTTTTGAAAGCTGAAAGTCTGTATTACGGGTTTACGGGTTCTAAATATTACGGGTTTACGGGTTCTAAATCAATTATAAATAGTTCTTGGAGAGTTTAGCTAATTTATGTGAGCAGCTTTTGACTTTGATGGCCATTTTGAAATTTTAAACTGGTTAACACATTTGCAGTGAAATTAATCCAACCTAAAATGAATTATTATTGCTATACTATGTTACTTTTTTAGCATTTAAAAAAATCCAAAATTGTAAAAAAAATTAATTGAAACTGTATTTGCCATATTTCGAAAATTAAAAATCGAAATTAACAAAATGTTGAAATAAAAGCAACAAAAGCAACTTAATAATTATGAATGCAACTGTATTTTTTGACGAATAAACTCGCTTTCTTAAAAATTAAAACCAGCTCGAGTATTTTTCATTATTATTACCGTTACATACTCATAGCGGAATCTCTTTTTCATTATTACAAGTTTTCAATTAGCGGCAAACACCAATCACTTGCCTCCTGCAAATCTATTTCTGAACCAGTTCTAACTGATTTATGAGCTAATTTATAAATTTCACGTAATATCCTAGTTTTACTACTAAAGTTGTGAGAAAGGCTGTAAATTTGGAAGAATAGTATGCTTATTGTCATATAGGGTGCTTTTTGAGGTATAAAAGTTTTCAGTGCAATAGCTGTCAAACAAGTTATCGATATAGATACATATTGTTGACATTTATGATCGGTAAACTTCGGCAATTTTCGGTTTCGGAACGTTTTTCGTGAGATAAGACCACTTATGCTAGGAAAGGTGGTTTGAAATAACTCTGATGGGATGGTATTCATAAATTTTGGTCGAGTAGTTGCCCATATGACCGAAACTAAAGTTACGAACATATAAAGCTGCCATACAAACTGAACCACCAAAATGAAGTTCTTGTATAGGAAACTTCTTTTTTTGACAATTTATTTTCACGAAATTCAGCATAGATTATTGCCCCAGATAACGCTACAATATCCAAACAAATAGTTCGAATCAGAACGCTATTTCATATAGCTGCCATACAAACCGAACGATCAAAATGAAGATCGGGCTATAGCATATAGCTGCCATATAAACTGATCGATCAAAATCAAGTTGAAGATCTTTTCATAGCCTTTAATAATATAAGAAATGCACCTTTTATATGTATTATAGCTTGGGTGCAGCCGCAGCTAACGTTTTTTCTTGTTTTGAAGTAAACATTTTCTAGCACTCAAAAAAACACCCTCTATAAATCTAAGCAGGAAGGAACCGTTGCCTGCTTTTTCTCGATCAGTTTGGCTACATGTCGTTCACTAATTGCAACATCGTTCACATAAATACATATCTACTATATAAATGTATGTGCGCATAGGCAAATAAATAAGTGGCTGTGGCGCATGCGCAAATTTCAACGCCACTTTATGGTCAGCTTAATGACTGCACACAAGAATTTACTTATGGTGGAAGTACGATATCAAAATACTAGTTTAAGACAGTAACGAGGTAATATTAAGAATTAAATGACAGCATTTTAAGTTGTCAATAGTTGTTAAGCGAGTGACAAACTGGTAATGGCTTAATGGCGGACTTTAAAGCGCATTTAAATGTGTAAATGTGTATGTATGTATACGAATGTATGCAGATATGCAATAGCAGTATTCGAATTATTTATATACTATTTATTTTTAACAATTTGTGCAGACTCTTGCTGCTAAATCACGCAATTAGTCGAGCAAACGGACACGCAAGTGTAAATGCATGGAAATTTTAATACAAATGTACATATGTGTTTGTGTTGTTACACATGTAAATTTCACTGTTGCGCAGGCGCTTCAGGCGAACTGGATTCGCTGTCAACTAACGCGAATAACGCCGATAAACTCTGTCAACTTACACCGTGCTAAAGAAAAACTGGTAGGTGTGAGTATTAGTAGCTATCTGTATATATATATACATACATATGTATATAACTGATATCTGTATGTTTGCTCACTTTGACGCTTCAGCGTACCACCAACCTGGAGCAGTGCGCCACGCAATGAGAAAGCACGACAAATACTCGCTTAGCATGCATGCAGGTAAACCTGTAGCGCCTCCGCGGGTGTACAAAGTATGTAAGAATAAATAGCATTTCACTTGGTGAATGCAAAATATGCATTTTATCACGTAAACGTCAATTAAGCAACAACAAATTATTTAGCCAATATGGGCGTTAGCATTTAAACATGGCCAGCCTTTTAATTTCATAGCGGAGATCACAGCCAATGTTGCCGACACGCACACACACACACGCATGCGCACTAACCCAAATGATAAAGGATGCTATTTTGTGACGCAAAAAAAAAAAATTATAAAAATTTGATATGCGACACCCCCACGCAATTTGCCGCATTTCACATGCACATTAATATCCAAATAGATAGCAGCTTTCTGCATACATATATGCATAGACTGGTATATGTTAGGCCTGTCACCACATGTGGGTTGTCTTGGCAATTTAAAAATGCAAATTTCGCACAATTTTCATTAGGTCTCTTTGCTAGTGCCCACAATGTCTAAATGACGGCTGCATAGCGATAAGGATAAGCTTTTAATAAACTTGTCAGTCATTAACTGTCTTTTTAGCATTTGCTTAGACGCCTTAATAGACGCGATTTTTTCGGGTGGGCTGAAGCGGCAATAAAATTAGCAAACTTATTCGTTGGCTGAGTGCAAACACACGCTTTACGTGGTGTAGCTATTAGATTATATGATTTACGCTTAGAAGCTGCACGCATGCGCCGTAAGCGGTTTTTCGTGAATCTGACAGTTTAATGCTCGGGTGATGATTGCAGAAGTTGTAGAAATTCATAGGAAAATGTATAGTATACAAACTCTCGAGTTGGCGCCGCACAAGTCTTGCTTTCTTACCCGAAGTTATACCTAGACAAGGATCTAAAGCAATACAATATATGATCATCTCCGAAATTTATCCAATTTTTTTAGATTTTGAATGGCATCTATTATTCATATGACTGTTAACCTTAAATAGCTTGAAATGATATGCAGAGTCGTCATAAGTGCCATCTTCTCATTGAATCTTGTATTGTACTTATATGTAGACTTGGAAAGCTGTATGTAGACTTCAAAGCCCATCATATCTCCCGCCATATTTATAGCGACGCCATCGTAGAAAAGTGAATTTCAGAATATATCCGTTCGGACCCATAAGCTTAAGCTTCTTAGCGAGCATAGCTCTTCTGAGCTCTCTGCACCGAACAAAGTAGCCAATAGGCTTCATAAACAAGTATTGTAAATGACGAAATTCGAAAAAAATTTTTTTGGTTCTGAACTAGAAATGTGTCTGTATACTTCAAGATTTCCCTGCAAGTTCTCAAATTTTTAAATTGCTGAAAAAAAACTTTTTGTGACAATGCTTCAGTCTGCATATTTTTCTACGTTTAACGCAACGACATAAGAGAGTTGAAAGGAAAGATATTGTAGCTCTTTTCAAGGGGTATTCTAGTGAAGAATTTAAAAAAATTTTTTTTCATGTATTCAAAGTTTAATTATTCAAGAATATGTCTACGAGAGGATTTTTGAAAATTTTAATTATTTTCGGATATATAGACATTTTACTGATCTGGATCTAATCGAATAAAAACCTTTACGCGAAACTTTAAATGCGTTTTTCCCAGGCCAGACTTTTTCAATACAATACCCAAGATTTCTCGAGTTCTACTAGACCGCTTTACTTAAAATTTCCAGAGAATCTTCTTTATATAAGTCTCTCGAGTATGAACTTGCCTCATCCCCAAATTTAAATATTCACAATGTTTGTTTTTGTTGTATGTTTTTTTTTTTCAAACAGTCGCCAATACTGTCAAACAGTCGTCATACAATTGCGACATCATTGCAGATTGATAATCTTTTTTTTATTTCAGATGACTAGGAGGGTAGATATGCTCATAATAAATAACTGATAAAAAAATCTATAGTAAAAATATTGATTGCCTTTTTTTTACGACACTTTAAAAGTTACCTAAAATTCATGTCTCTAGACTAGAATGCCCCCTTAAGAATGAAAATACTTTCAAGAGTTGGAAGTTGGAAAGAAAATACTCAACACACTTGCAGTGATGTTTACAACATTTTTGACAACTGGTAGTCATACACATTTATAAATGTATATATAAACATGGTCATCTAAACTTTTCAGCCCACCTAAACCACCTCATTTTACCGAATCGTAAATCAAACTTTCAAAATAGCTAAACCATAAATCAACAACATTACAACACGTTCGCCAGCTTAACGCATTGACATTTGAACGATGTGATATGACGGAAAGTACCGTTAACTGTCAAAAATCATGACAACTACGCGCAGTCACTGGTTTTAACGCACTTACAAATACATATGAATAAAATATATATGCACTTACATTTTCGCATGATGTACGACATGAGCCAAATACTTCGCTGCAACAAGTGTAAATGTCTGGAAGAAAAAAAACAAGAAAAGAGGTATAGCAAAAGCGATTATCAGCAAAGAAATGCAATGAGTAATGTTCACATAAAAAGAAAAAAATCGAAAAAATGCATTTAAGAAACATGCAAAAAGTATATTGCTGTAAAGACCGGCAGTGCAAGTGCGTGCGACGAACAGAATGAGAAAATTTATAAAAAAACAAAAATGAATGGAGAACCTCAAATGCAAATATCGGTTTAATGACTGCGTAATATTTCATTTTTTGACATTTGAAATAATTTATTTTACGCATAACTGCAGCTACACGTGCGTTGCGGCGCAGCGAGGCGCGTTATTTGAACTTGTTATTTGTTTTTGTATTAATAATAAATTGCTTTAAACCTCAAATAGATTTATCTCTTTCGCTGTAGTATTATTAATTTAATTTTTGATTTTTTCATAATAATTGAATTTTTTCCACTGGTTACACCATGTTGTATTCATTAAACTTGCGTCCATCATGTCTCCAAATTGACGCGACCATATTCCATAAGCTTATGCTTATGGCACGCCAACTCCATTCACGTTTACGCCAACAGCTGCCGGTCGACCTCTCACACCACTTCGCCACTTCATTCACCAACACAACTTCTAAATCATGTTCAATCATCCAGTTCCTCTACTCATAATCACCAGCAGTGCTTGCTGATCTTACAAAATCCCAACGTCGCGCTGTCGTCTTAGGCTTGTTGTTTTATGCTTTCATTGTCGGGTCTTAGGAGCAACGGCAACAACATTCTGTTTTGCATGAATTTTTCCCATGTGATTAATGTCGGGCAATTCGCAATTTTTAATTTATTTTCTCTTTTTGCCTGCATACACTCACAAATGCTTCAGACATTCGCGTTTTCAACGGCATCAGTGCGCTTATTGCTGCACAAGTCCGTTGCTGACGCCAGCGATTCGTGTATATATACACATGTACGTTTGTTAATCTGTATGCAAATACATATGTAGTTAATTTTTAATCTTCCGTTCAAGTGTCACCAGTCGAGTCAGTTGCGCAGACAAGCAACACAACCGATTCAATGGCCTCAGCACGATCAACGCCTCGATTACTTTGCTTACGATCACTTTTGATTCACTAAAGTTTCTGTGTTTGTGCAACTGCTTGACTCTTCAGTCGCTTAACTTGACATACTATTATTTATAAGTTCGCACAAATATATTTACGTATGCATGTTTGTATATAATTGCGTTTGTGTACTTTACTTGTGACTCAAAAGTGTTCTTACCGATCTATTCTTGCTGGCGATCGCTCGTCCAGATGTGGTCCTGCCGCCAAGTGGCACTTCTGGTGTGAATGGTGACACTAAGTGCGCGAAAACATGAGGGAGTTCGTTGTACATACATGTATATGTATATAGTATATAAATAATTTATTTTAGTGCAAAAGAGTAATGAGCATCCGGAAGAAGTGCTGTAAGACTTGCGGTTAATTTGCTTGAAATTGTTCAATATTAATTATAATTGGAAGCTATTTAAGGTTTTACCCACAATGCTGTTGAACTTCACCATTATTTGTCTAAATGAAAATATTTTTTCTTTTCAGAATTTTTCTTAAAGCACGTGCTTTTTTTTTTGTCGTTTACAATGAGTCAGTATCTTTTTCGGAGTTGATCTTTTTGATAGCTGTTATTTGATTTATACTCAATTTGTTTCGGTTCGACACATCGGGCAAAATTTTGTTCTACGATGAACCTCACTTGTGATTGAATGAGTACGTCAAAAAGCAAAATTGTCGCATTGTAAGAGTGATTATAATCTACAGGCCATTATTGAGACGCTGTCACATCCTCAAAAAGTCATTGTTTGGTGTGCTCTATGGGCAGAGAAAATCAATGCTGCATATTAATCAAAAATGACGCTGGTCATAATGTTGCAGTGAATGGGGAACGCTATAAAGCCAGGGATAATCACTTTTTCGTGCCTAATTTGGATGATTTTTAGCTCCAAAGATGCGGCGCTATATGCCATAGAGCAAACGAAACAATCAATTTAATGAAGGACTAAATTCTTGACTATAACATTAAACTGTATGCGTTTTATTTCTTCTTGAAAACCACATATTTTGAAAAAACCCCCTTTATTATAGAAATATTGTTTTAATGATATATGCTCTTCAAGTCTGCAGACTTTATACTTTTCCACCTGATCCTCTAAATAATAATCAGACAGATCTTCCTTAACTTATTTTTTTACTTAAGTGATTCATGTTAAAAGTTTGGTCAAGTTTATCCTAGAATGTATATAAATGTATGCGAAGCTGACAGATTTGATGAAATCAGAAATATACTCGAATATTTCAGAAGGCTATTTCAAAAGAGTGAAACTTACTCGAAAGTAGATAGAGCTAGTTAGGCTAGATAGTTTATCTATTTAAAGTTGAGAAAGTAGAACAAATTTCTCTCACTTTTAGGTACCTTTTTAGAGAGGTCCTGCTGAAGATCGGTACGAGATCAAGTAAATCCAAAGTTTCACAAAATGTATCACAGATTATCAAAGTATATTAAATTCTATTAATGTACATTATTCTTTATTTAATTATAAAATTAGATGCATTTTGAAAAAATTCACGAAAAAACTCGTTTTTTCGGACTTGCATCGGATATACAATAACTCCTTAAGGTAACTAACTAAGGTATAGGTCCCTAGTATTTAACGCTCATTATAATAATAAAAAAATTCTTAAAAATCAAGTGATGAAGCTGAAAACAAGATCGCGTCATATTTAGCATTTTTCAGTAGTTTCATAAGTTAATGTATTCTTCAAACAAACTCTCAACTGCGGCAACCTAACAGTTTCTATTAGAAGTCCTACATCAAAGAGTTCTTAAACGAAACTTTGTGAAAAAATAATGCTGACATAATTAAATAATTTATTTTATGCATTGATGTATGCATAGTATGGGCATATGTACATAAAAATATTTCTTAACTCGCACTGTTAAAAAAAAATATTTTTTTTTAGTGTACAACAACAACAAACACCAATTAAGTGCTAGTTAAGCATTGCTACTTGCTGTGTGGTCGATTCGCGCAAAAACAAAAAAAAAAAACATAAACAAAAAAATAGCTAATTTTATTTTTATTCACATTTCACTACTTTGTTCGTGTGTGTAAATTTGTATTTTTTTGTAATTAGTTACTGTGACAGCGCAAAGAAAACGTCGCGTTGCGGCTTCAAAGAAATTAAAAATAAAAGAATAAAGAAAGACAAGTGTTTTGGTTTTGTGCTCGTAAATTTGTATTGCACAGCTGTGAGCAATATTTGAGTGAGAAAGTGTGGCAATTGAAACAAGTTGAAAATATAAAATTTTTTTTTTTGTTGATGTGAGGCTGACCGCACTAAATTATTTTATTTACCATGCGTTTATAGAGTTTAGATGGGTATGTGCCTTAAGGTGGACACATTTTTTATAGAAAAATTTTTTAAAAACAATATTCTAAAACATTTTTTCAAAAAAAAAATGTTAGATGTGAGAACTGAAATCGATTTGGAATTGTAACCTCCGATTTCTGAATTTCGTGTCCTCTTAAAGTTTTACTTTACCAAAACCACCAAGAATTGGACTATTACCGAAAAATTTTTATTTTAAGGGTTACATAATAATAATAACAAACAAGGAACAAATCAATAGTCAGTTTAGTGTATATAGCACTTAAACTCACTAAAATCACGTATACATACATAAGTACGTCGGACAGTACTTCGTTAAAGGCTAAGAGCAGATCCATGCTCAATCGTTTGATGATTGTCCTCGGTCCAATTACTTAATTCACACTCCAAATTAAGCCAAACTTGGACAGAGAGGTATAATAGTCTCAAAAGATTTACTATTAACAGCGAATTATCGACATGTATCGATATTATGAAACTATCGAAAAATAAGTATTGACATCTATCGATATTACCAAAATATCAAAAATTATTTATCGATATTATGAAACTATCAAAAAATAAGTATCGATATTGTCAAACTATCAAAAATGAATAGTCGATATTTAACGATATGTAATATCGATATTTGAATTTATCGGTATTATCAAACTAAAAAGAGTAATTACCTACAATTATCAATACTAGCAAACTATTGAAAGTGAATTACCGCTATTTTTAAACTATAGTATATAAAATAATTATCGGCTTTTATTGACATAATCACACTATCAAGAGCAAATTAACGGTACTTATTGATATTATCAAACTATAAAAATTTAATTATACACATTTATCGATTTTATTAAATTGTTAACATTAATTATCGACATTTATTATCAAACTATCAAATGCGAATTATGGGCATTTATTGATACTGGTGTCTGATTGTGATTATCAAGCTATCCAAAAAGAATGATCAGAATTTATCAGTATTATGAAACAATACAAACATAATTGTCGACAAATATCGTTAATCTCAAACTATAAAAATTTAATTATCGACATTTATCTATGTTATCAAACTAATAAAATTACACTATCGGCATTTATCGATATTCCCAAATTTTATATATCGAAATTTAGCGATGTTATCAAGTTGTCATCGATATTCTTAGACTATAAAAAGCGAATTATCGACAGTTTAAAAGCACAAGCAAAATAAAATCGTATTTCTTGAGTCACCTTATAGATGACTACATAGTAAATCCCACATAAATGCAAATATTATATGATTATAAAAACAAATTTCCAAACTTGATCAACAAATGTATAGTACAGTTCTTCGCAACTATTGGAGAAAATCACAAATATACTCATATTAATAATAAAAAGTCTCAAAGCAAGGCAATAAACTCTATGATAAAGTAAGAAGGCAAACAAAACCAAGCAATACAAATAGCGACGACAACAACTGCCGCAGCAAACAACCAATAAAAACAACAACAATAAAGTCCACATAAAACAACCAATAAGAGCAGCACAAAGGCAACACTTAAATGTTAATAACCAAAACGCAACAACAAAACGT